TTTGGTCTGGGCCCGAGGTGGGCTTAATAGCCGGCGACTACTGTAGTTGAAACTGTTAGATGGAGGAAGTTTTTTTAGCGCAAAAGATGGCTTAACACAATATCAGGTGATAATTGTGGTCAGAGAATGCCCAACTCACAATTATAAGGTGTTTAATGTGTCAGCATGGTCCGATGTAAATACAAAGTGAAAATTAACTGGTTGCCTATAGAAGCAAAGCGGAGCGAGTTCCAGGAAGTCGATAAGGAGACGATGCAATAATTCGAAACATAAAGCTTAATGGTCTGACGTTTCGGACTCTCGGTAGAACTGATCACCAGAGGCGGTAGCAGACGATGTAATAAGTCCAATATTAAAAGGACAGGGCCGTCATGTCGTCCAATTAGCAGATCTCGCGTTCATCATACCTAAGGCGATGATTAGTAGACAGTCCGCTTCCGAGTCGGTAATTGCACACCTCGCATCCTCATCGTGCTTACCTGTGACTGTCTTTGATGAAATGCGGTTAGGCTGCTAGCCAGACCACTTTAGTCTCGTTCAGACATCAGCTTACGTACTCAGCTGTTGATATACAAAGCTTCAATCAGACCGGTGTTAGTATATGCCTGTGAAAAATGGCCAGTGAGAAAGGCAGACATTCAATCGCTCGAAGTCTTTGACCGTTGGTGTCTTCGACGCCTCTTAAGAGTCTTCTGGCAGGATCGCATTTCCAATGTCGAGCTATACCGCAGATTTTTCAAATTACCAAGTCTAGCATCATACATCCAGCATTGCCGATTGCAATGGTTTGGCCATGTCCTGCGCAAACCGTCGACGGACCTCCGCAAATTGGTCGTGAACCGGAGATACCGACAAGGCAGTCAGCTGAAGACATGGCTCAACACCGTCAAGTCGGACGTCGAACGGATGGGTCTCTTAACCGTTTGCGGCTTGCGACATTGGAACAAACAACGAGTTAACATCTGTGAAAAGCTCGCTTCTGACCGCCGCTATCTGTGACATCCGAGAAGCCGATTCAGCCAACAACAGGAGCTAATCGGATCAAGTACAAGTAGAAGTCTTTAATGATGGCTTTGAGCGAGTATCCGAAACGCCAGGCTATTAAACTTCCTGTTCCAGCGATCACATGTTCTTCTTCTGCTGAATAAAGCGGTTCTTATAAACGTCAAAACCGTGAGAAGTAATTACAAATATACGTTTTTGTTTCTCAAAATCAACGCATTTCGGACATGTTTGGCCTAGAGTGAAATCTATGGAGTTTGGATGCGGCAGCATTTCGTCGGCGTGTTTATTAGCACCACAGACGCCGAATAAACTTAATTGGCAGTCTATAGTTTAAGAATAAGAAGGGGAGGATGAAGAGGGAAAGAAGAAGGAGAACGAAAAGAATAAAAATAAGAAGATGAAGACGACAAAAAACGCCGAGGAGGACAATGGGGCATACTCACAAAATGATAAGGTGAGTCACCTAGATTGAACTCAACTAATATTCTATGGTTTAAGAAGAAAAGAAAGAAAAAATAATAGAAATAATAATAACGACGAAGAGGAAGAAGAAGAAGAACAGGAAAATAACCAGGATAAAAGAGGAGGAGGGGGACGGGAGATATGTGCATAACATAGAGACCGTAAAAGGAGAGTGCCAATGAAAAAAACCTCACGCAGACAGGGTCTTGACTCCCTCTGCTAAGGCCTGATTGAACTGGTAGTAGGGCTCGCCGGCAAGAGCCTGAGATCCACCAGGTGTGAAGGTGATAGTCCTCCGATCCCTCCTTCCCATTACAGCAGCGATAGAGCTGTCCTCGGAGGTGATCAGGCGGGCCCGCATGAGTTCCTCTAGCCGACGCAATGTCGTCTCCAGTGGATTTTTCTTTTTTTCATTGTTCACCACCGATGCAGTAAGGCCCAGCACCTGTGCTAAGCAACAAAATACTCATGCCAAACGGTCAATCGAA